TTTTCTATCTAAACAACCTCAGGGATTATCTTTTAACATAACAAGGACAGTAGATTCCTGAGGACAGGGCTTTAAATTTTTCAGCATCCCATAAAAACAAATGAAAAATTCCCATTGCTGTTGGTGAATTATTCTTTGCCATGCATTAAAAAGAAAAATGATGGCTTTGTAAATGCTGCAATTTGCTTTTTACACCACTATAATTTATTATTAGTCATCAAGAGATTTGCTTTTGATTTTCTAACAGTCTTAACTCTGTCTGCCTAGTGGTTCTATTTTTTACCTATCAAATTTAAGTGTAAAAATATTATTTTGGTATTCTCAGGCAGAAAAGAGGAAAAAAAAAAGGTTCAAGGTCACAGCTGTAGGGGCTGTGTTGCATGCAAGTAAGTGTGCTTGAAAATTTGCGCAGGCTCCAGAGTCTCTGAGTCAACTACAGTCTCATCATGGGGAATAAAACCGCTAAGGCAGCTGCTGAGTTTCCTGAGGTATCTCCAGTGGTGTAATGAGAAGTCACAGGAAGAACATATAAAGAATATCTATATTATGAATTATAAAGAGTAAATGCCATGGGAACTTCTGCTTCCCATATCTTCTAATAAATAAGGAGAGACACATTTGAGATGAAAGGCCACAAAGGCTTAAGAGGGATAAAATATTTTTTTATAGACTATATAAACTGAACTGTGGAACTTGCTGTCTTCTGGCATTACTAAAGGAAATACAGCTGCCAGAAGTTCATATGCTTTTGAACAACTCTGTTATAGGACCTATGATAGTATTTATGACATTATGTTACCAAGAATAAATGTATCTTGTTCTACAAGCCATCAATTTTCAGAGTCCTGTAGAACATGGCACTGAAAATCATCAGGACTTTACTAAAAATATTATTTTATATGAAAATGGAAATACATTTGCAATTTTTGTTGTCATTCTTGGACTCTTCTGGTACAAATCACTCAAGAAACATGACTTGGTCAACCTACCCCTCTCTCCCAGGCATTAACAACTATGCCTATCAGTTTTGAGGGAACTACTACCTTCTAATTCAACATTTCTTGTGCATCTATTTTCCCAAGTCATAGCAGAAAACATGGCAAAAGAAGAAAACTGCACTACCTGGCTGTGGGCTCTGCAGTATCCTCCCAGTCATGTTATCATGGCATTAATGCCTCAAAACTATTACAAATATCGATATTGATATGGGACATACCCATACATTTATAGATGGTTTCTGTGGGATATACCATATCTTCTCTGTATCTTTTAAATTATGTCAGTGCAAGGCTTTTAGAATAAGAACTTCCCCATCCAAATTGGAGTTTCCGCCTGCAAAGGAAGGTAAGTACACATCTTGCTAGCACACTTCCACAGCAGTTTGTTGACTAAAGAAGAACAAGGAGTGTCTGAGGTAATGGTCTGGAGGGTTGTATGTTTGCTATAGATTCTTACAGATGCATTTATCCCTCTTCCTAACCTTCCCCACACCAGACCCCATCTTCTCAGCATCTCATTTTGGTCTTAGTCTCCGTCCTTATCACCCACTTGTTATCTACTCAGTGTTGTGTCTCTTCTGCTTGTCAGAGTCTCTTCACTCTTTAATGTTACTGGCTCAGCTCTCCAAGTGCCTGACAGTGCAGGATGTACATAGGTGCTCAGGACCCCAGTCCTCTGCCCAGGCTTCAGGTCGGAGATGGTCTGTTCAGACCCCCCAGACTGAGCTGGAAGTTGGTCCTTCATTCAGTGGATATTGAGATTTGATAATGTTAACTTCAAGCAGAGATTTTTTAGAGATTTGTAACATTACAAGAGTCAGATGGTATTTCATAGACATGGCAAAAATTATAAACTTGGCTATCACAATCCAAATCTTCATCCCAAAGCCTGGCGAAACTGAAGATCTTCAGTGGAAAAAGGATTTTAAAAAAATCTCCCACCTGCCTTTTTTTTTTCCTTCTAAATTATCAAACTCCCGTATGTATATCTAGCCTTCTTCAGAGGAAGGACTGGATCTTTTATGTTAATATGAAAAAACTGAAGCCTGAAACAGCTACCTGTTGTGGATAATTTCCAGCTAACCAGTTTAGGTTTCACAGAAGTATTTTTAAAGTGCTAACCTGTTCCTTCCTTTTTAATTAAGCTGTACCCCCTGTTTCCATACACATTTATTAATATCCTGTAGTTATGCATCCAGTATACTGATCCTGTCCTGGAAATGCACACCTTGATTCCTTTTCCAAGGAACTGTATTCTTACTATTTGAAAATAAAGAAAGAAAATATGGGAAATCAACCATTTGGATACACACAAGGATAAACACAAGTGGTATTCCCTGCATTTCTGGCCTCTAGCATTACCCACTATATAATTTTACCTATGCTACTCTTCTCTGGATCAGCTGCTTAACAAATTAGTGGAAAATAACTACCAAGAAATTAAAAGGAATGTAAAAGCATGATATTGGGGAAAATATCAAAGACAACAGTGTGAAGTGCTAAAAATACAGAACAAACTGTTTTCAGATCCTTCTCTTGGTTAATCTCTGTTAATCTACTGAGGAGTCAGTCATGAAGTTCAGATGTAAGAACAAACTGGGTTAACGCATTTGTCATACCATTATTTCATACTATTTTCAAGAAGCACCCTCTAGAGCACTAACTCTAGTTAACACAGAACATTTTAGCAAATTAATTTTATTCTTTTCCAAACCATTCCAGTATTTTTTGCAAGGCTCCCTCCCCTACAGAAATGTCCTGTGGAGGATGAACCATCAGTGGAGATCTCCTTAGAAAGGATTCCCCAAATCATTCTGTGGGAAGAGAATATAATTTGAAATTGATTGCAAAATATACTCCTTTTATCGATTCAACTGGTTTCCAGAGAACAAAGGTTCCAAACCACCCTGTGGTTCACTTGCAACTTCTCTGCCAGGTGCCTCTGCTATACATCTCATGCTTTCACGAGAAGGGCTCACATGCAGAATTCACGATTTTCTGCAACAGCAAACGAACAGAACTCAGCTAAGGCTGCTGCAATCCTTTGAAACAAAAATATCTAAGAAGAGACAGTGCTTTCTCTGTTCTGTTCCTCCATCCTTTCTAAGCCATCACCTTCCTCTCTGATGGCAAAGCAGCATTGTAGTGTTGTGCAGCATAACATTTTTTCCTGTGTTTTGGGTTGTGTTGTTTTATTTGTTCTTTTTTGTAGTCACAAGACAGCCTAATGAAGGGAGGCCCACATGAAAGAAAAACCAATAGACTAAAATAATGAGTCTGGCTCAGAAGGACAAGAAACATTTTTACACATCATAGCCAGTTTGCTAGCCTTTGTGCTTTGTGTGTAGTTGTGATATATGATTTAATAATTTGTTTTTCTATTCATTTACATTTTAGACAAAACAAATTTTAAATAACTGACAGAACACTGATTTCTTTAATAAATGATTTGTAGATGATTTAATAAGCACTGATTTTGTGCAGAAATACAAACATTGCATCATTAAACAACACTGCTTCTGGAAGAGAAAATGCTGCAAACTTTTAGCCCTAAGACAGTCAGACACACACATCTTAACTCCATCTGGAATCAAGTTCTCCTGTTAGCCTGCACTGAACTGCATGCAGAATCATGCTAGCTGAAGGTAATTTTAAGAGGCCTTGAAGGTTTGGAAATGCTCGGCATGTTTAATACTTTACACGCATCGTCTATGAGAGCCTCAAGCATGTAAGTCTTGTGAAGGCTCGATGTGAGACTGCCCTCTGACGGCAACCATGTCCTAGAGCTGGAGCAGGGACCAACAAAGCAGGACAGGCTGCACACATAGCCCCCAAGGTAGAAGAAACATGTCAGAACTGGTGTTTCATATTGAAGAGGTTGTAGACATCAGCACACACAACCTTGACCTTTCAAACTTCAAGTTGGAAACAGTTGTTATGCTCTGACTTCTCTGCCAAAATAACAAAAGCATCATTTCCTTATTGTCTACACATTGCACTGGAGTTTTGCCTGGCTTTGTTATTACACTCTCTTTTTGTACACTGGGGTCTTGTAAAATCTGGCCTCATTAAAAGTCTGTGATAAATGTCTTAATAGACTTGTCTTTATCACGGCTTGAAACCGCCCTTGAGGGTGCTGCAACAGAATAGTGCAGAGCAGTATCTTATCTGCTCTCATAGACCCTTTTTCCTTTCCATTTCCACCTTACCCCATCATATCTATCAGGAAGGACTGATACAGAATTATTCTGTTAGTTCTACACTAGTAAGAGAAATTAGCACAGCACAGTGCTGCTGGACCGATATAAAAAGAGAACCTGTATCTTCAGCTACATGTTACACAGTAACACTTCTCGGGCATTCCT